CCACTGCCAAGTATTTGGTACAACTATTACTTGTGGTAACTTGGAAGGTAAACCATGTTCCTATGGAGCCCACAGCTAGAGAAGAAATGACCAGAAAGAGCTAGAATGATCATATGTGTTGACTGTTCTCTACTGCATTTAGCAACATACAGCAAGAAATAGATAAACCTGAGAAAGAACTGACCAATTTGTAAACAGATAAAGAGAAAAGAAAGTGTCCAGTAACTTAAGACTTACCAGGTTGAAAAAATCAACTGCTTCTATACCTCCAAAGAGAAGACAAGACTACTATTGTTCAAAGGACTCCTGTTAACACTCTCCCCAGCTTTCCAAAAAAAGGGACCCAGCCCTGAGGCAAAACCCAGATTAAGGATGCTGCCTGTTGTTTTATATGGCCTCAAAGTACTACCATCAAAATGAGAAAACAAAGAAAGAAAACAGCTTAGTATCTATATCTAGAAAAGAACTTGGGTGTAATTACTGGGACATGGAACTAACTGGAAGCAAAAACAGCAGATACTTAACAAATTTTTGAGGAAATGGTTTTACCAAAACAACCATAAGCCTAGCCAGAAAAAGTTTGTTTTTGTTTTTTGTTTTTCAAATTAAGAATAGCTCCCAAAGAAGGCATAGTCTCCCAACACAATACTTTGATGTGGCCATGTGGGATAATGGACGAGAACTTTTCAGAAGGCCAAGGGCTTCAGAAGACAATTGAGAACGAGGAGTTGAAATCACCCTACTGCTAGAGAAAGGATTTGTTATTTGCTATGGTTCAGTGACTACCACATATATTGCCAAAATTCCCTTTTCTGAACAGGAGCCTTTATTTCACTTCTCCTGGTCTTGTTCCTCCACTATTTATTGGTGGCAGGGTGGGAGGAGAATGTGATGTTCAGTTTGTAGGTGGTTGAAGAGTCTAATCTGGACTTAATGGAGAGAACTTACATCAAGTAGAGATTCTTGACTTTTGATCTAATGATGGGATTCTGGGTGTTTTCCTCAGGGGGTGAGTGAGTCCATTCTATGTTGGGAAGGAGGGAGCGTGCTGACATTTGGATTGCCAGAGGGGCAAACTGTGGTAGAAGTTGCCAGTTAGTTTTCTGATCCTTCCATAATTACAGAACTGTAGGCAGGCTCCTGGCCACCCAGCTGGATTATACTTCCCAGCCTGCCTCACAATTACAACATGACTAAATTCTTAACATTGCTATGTGAGCACTATCCAGATCCAGGACTTCAGACCTTCAGAGGTTTATGTTCTCTTCCCCTAATGTGCCAGCTGGAACCATATGTGGTAACAACCACTTCTGTATGTAACAACCATACAACCCTTCTTTGACCCTACAGATGAGGAGAGCATCCCAGGAGATGGCAGAACAACAACGTGGAAGGAACCATGGTCCCTAAATGATCTCAAGGAGAAAAGCTGTCTAGTGAATCTGGACTTCACATTGATACTCTTCCCTAATAGAAAAAAATACACTTCTTTGTCCTATAAGACACTTAAGTGTTAGGTAAGACCATCACTAGTATATAGCCAATATAAGAAATCCATCTTTTCTTACGCCCTGGACCTGTGAGAAAGTCTTGGGGAAAATTTCTGCATGTATGTATATACGGGTCCACAGGCAAACACAAAAGAGCTAATTAAAGAAAAACCTTGTGGAGTTGTGGTATAATGAAAGTATATATTTAGTTGTTGTCCCTGATTCCTGACACAGAGCTTTTTAAAACCTTCAGAATTTCCTGAGTGACAGGACTGTCTTCTGTTGTTCATAATGAACACCTTCTGACCATACCTCAGTCTAAGCTAGTGAAGTGACTTAGGTGGGGCCCGAAATAATGTCAAGCTAGTGGAGTTTGTTGGCAGAGAGACCAAACATGAGATTAAAAGGTGGGAACTTTCAGCCCCGCTCCCTGGTCTCCAGGAAGAAGGAGAGAGATTGGGTTAGAAAAACTCAGCAATGACGTTTGGAGAGCTTTTGGGTTGGTGAACATGCTGAAGTGCTGGGAGGGTGGTGCACCCAGAGAGAACATGGAAGTTCTGCATTCCCAATCCCACACCGTGCCCTACACATCTCTTCCATTTGGCTGTTCCTGGGTTGTACCTTTGTCATAATCCCCTAAATGTAAGTAAAGCATTTTCTTGAGTTCTTTGAGTCATTCTAGCAAATTATCAAAACTGATGAAGGTGTTGTGGGAACCCCAGAATTTATAGGTGATTGGACAGAAATACAGGTGGCCCCTGGAACTTGTGACTGACATCTGAAGTGGGGGAGTCTTGTGGGACTGAACCCATAACCGGTAGGGTCCATACTAACTCGGATAGTTAGTGTTAGAGTTGAATGCAATGATCAGACATCTTGTTTGTGTTGAGGACTGGAGAACTGGTAGGGAAAACCCTCACACATTTGGTGTCAGAAATGGTACCAGAAAAATAGACACCACAAGAGCTTAAGCCTACATAGGGTACGGAGTAATCAGGGCTGACCCTAACGCTTTGCTTTACATAAACACTTCAGCTTTGCCTCTGCACCCTCTGAACTCTGGGAGCTCAGCTGTGGTGGCATCAACCTCAGCACAATTGTTCTGCTTGCAGTGGCCGAGAACCTCTAGTCTGTTACAACGCCAACCTAAGAAAGATGTTAAATTGGACTTTTCCAACCGCGGACGAATGGCTGAGAACAAATGCAAGTGACTTCATGTCTTACAGAGAGATACCAGACCATTTTACAGAACTTGTTAACAGGTGTCCCCAACCAGTATTATGACCCCTGGCCCATCACCCATGTCCAGGCTTTGTAAGAGAATGGAGATTGGTCAGACATCCAGAGAGTGGGCAGAGAGCCACACGTTTCCTGCCCCTTCCCCACTACCTGCCCCACCGTAAGTCACGTGAGGAAGAATTTCAAGAGTCTGAGACATCACTTTGGATTCCTGAGGCTGAACCAGGTCCAAGAAGACATATGTTAAACTGAATGGAAAACTGAAGTTTTCATTTCATATTGGACTTTTTTTTAACGAAAAAAATTTTCCCCAGCTTTATTGAGATATAATTGTGGACTGGGCTTTTTATTACTGGCAAGTGAAACTATCTGTTACTATTTGAAAGATTCATTTATTTTTTTATTTAAGAGAGGGGGGAGGGGCAGAGGGGCAGAAGGAGAGGGAGGGGGAAAGAATCTCAAGCAGGCTCCCCACTGAGCACAGAGTCCGACCTGGGGCTCCATCCCATGACCCTGAGATCATGACGTGAGCTGAAATCAAGAGTTGGACCCTTAACCAACTGAGCCACCCAGGAGCCCCTGTCTGTTACTATTTTAAAGTCACCAGGAAAGCTATGAGACCTACCTGAGTTATTATTCAGGGGAGAAGAGAAAGACTCACAGCATGTTCGAAAAGCAAGAGAAGAAAAATCAAGAAGCTCCTGCTGCTTGTGCCCACCAAATGCATGTTATTCAATACACAGGGGGGACTGGGTTTGAGTGGGGATGCCTGCCTTGGCTCCCTTGGGCCTCCACTAACAGCCAAGACTCACATAAAAAACGACTGCCATAGTACCCATTTTCAACAGCAACATCGGGTGAGGCAACAACAACAACAAATTGATTTTTCTAGTTTTTCTCTCGTCAAGGCCCAAGCAATTAGAACCAAGTCCTTAAACTAAGAAAGCATGGAAGGTTCCGGAATACTGCAGGACAGGGAAACCTGAGGAGGGGAGAAAGACATTCCAGCACAACAAATATCCCCAAACAGTTAACCTGAATATTTAGAGAGGCTTTCTGAAGACTACTTATGGCTTTGAACGGCCTAACCCCAGACTTCTTTTATATGACATACAAATTTACATCTGATTTGACTTTGTTCTCTCTGATATCATATCTGTAATATGTTAAAAGCTAAGAAAAAGACAAACAAGTCTGTAGAAAAAATAGGCAAAGGAAAGCAGATAATTTACATAAGAAATACAAATCGTCAATAAAGTATCTGAAAGTGTACTTAACTCTAGAAGTAACTCAAATGTACATTTAAAAGATGAAATACTGTTTCTTACTTATCAGGTTGGCAAAAATCTTAACTATGAATTCTATCTGGCTGGATCGGATCTGGAGAAATATACTTCATTCAATATTGATGGGACTATAACTTGGAAAAGTCTTTTCTGCAGGACCATTCGGAAATAGCTATGAAAATTAAAAATGCATTTGTATATGAGCATGCACACATGTACATGCATGGCTGCATGTGTGTTTAATGTACAGAAAATAGCCTAGAAGGATCTATAACCAGCTTAACAGTGTTTCTATTTCTTAGGAGAGGAGGGCAGTGGAATGGAATAAGGGTATTAATGAACTTTCACTTTTTACACTGGACTTAAAATTTTTATAACCACAGTGTTATTTTTGTAATTAAAATTTCACATGAAAAATCAGTCACCCTGCTTCTCAAAGATTAAATAGATACGCAAAATATTTTAATTGATTTATTTCCCTTAAAAATATACATATTAGGTGTTGAGCATGCATTGTCTACTGAAATTTGAGTAAACTTCGGGTACCTGAACCCTACCTTGTTATAGGTAGGTGGTTTCGTATTTTACACCCCAGTTAAGAGGGCTTCCTAATTTGGTAACAATATAAGTACAAAAGTGGTGTTTTATATTGCTGAGCAGTATGGACAGGCTTGTTTTAAGTAATTAAAGATTAAAAACATAATCTTAGGTAAGGTATTTTGAAAAAAAATCAGAGCTTTGCATTTTTTAGATAAAAATCATGAATTCTATTATTAGCTTTTGGTTTTTTTTTTGGCAGAGACAGCCTCCAATTTTTAGGCGTGCATGACAAGGAAATGACCTTCTGCCAACCCATACTGATGTACTTTCTCATTTTCAGACCAGAATTCTTTCAGAAAAACAGCAAGTCTTCCAAGAAATCTTTTTTTTTAATCTCAAAGTTTTAAGCAAAAATAGGTCATTTAAAATATAGAGACATTCTTACTTGGTCCTCAAAAGATAGAGCCTGGGCAACATCTCTTGGAAAGCCATCGATAACAATGCCTTCTTCATCAGGTATTTGCATCAATTTCTGTTTTATCTCTGTAATTGTCGTTTCCTTTTACAAATTAAAAAAAAAAGATGAAAAAACACAGTTAAGCTAACACTCACCACTGCTATAAAAATCTTTGCAGAATAGAAGCAAATTACCCAGCAGTACCTGTGGGGCCAATTCTCCAGTTGTAATTATTTTAGCAATAAGACTCCATTTCCTATTGCTGCTGGTGTTGTGGATTTTCTTTCGTAATAATTCTCCCACCGAAATGTATTGGAATCCATAACGTTCTGCAATTTTCAAACTTTGAGTACCCTTTCCACTTCCCGGACCACCTATCAGTTAAAAAGGCAAAATTGTGACCGTCTGATACAAGAAGAAACTCCTTTTTATACAGCTACCACCGCTGCCTTGAGATGCAGAGTCTAAATCACCAACAGCAGAGTGGGCAACTCTACACTCGTGCCATTCTCGGTGCTAACTCTGAATGCAGAGCAAGTGTAGACTTAGCCAAGGGAAGGACAGAATGATGATCAACTTTATTAGATGAAAGAGACATCTTTTCCTTTACTTATTTTAGTAAATAATTTAGAAAATTGGACAATGCAGTTGAAAGAAATTGTTTCATGTTCTTCTTTGTAAAACCTAATTGTTTTTTCCTCTGTAATCAAAGAAAAATCTATGGGACACAAGAGACAATGACCAAAATAACAGAAATGTGTTCCATGCCAACAAAGAGCTAATGTGCAATTTGGTGAAATGTAACTATTATTTTTAAACCCAAAGGGACATCAATATTGACAGTTTATTTAAATCTTTTTTTTTTTAACTCTGTTCATGGGTCTCCTTGTTTTATCTCCTTTAAATTCCAAAGAAGTTTTATGTAATGAATACAGAGTGAATGGAATAGTTTCTTAAAGCAGAACAGTTTCATAGAGCTCATGATAATTTCAATTTTGTGATATATTAGTATGAAGTAATCAACATTTTGCAATCTTACTCAATACTAATCGTTGGTAATTACCATTTACTTTTTAGAAGCTTAAGTCCTAAAATAATCATAAAATATATGCCTCAGATTTTATTTCCAATCATATTGGATTATTTTAATTTATATTTCTAAACAACCTAGACTAACTGGAATCTAACATCTGAACAAATTTCTAAATAAAGCACATAGCAATCAGCCCAGTCTGATTTTGATTTGTTACTTTGTTTTTTTTTTTACTTTAAAGACTCTACTCATATGGGAGAGAGAAAGCATGAGCAGGAGGAGAAGGAGGGGTGGAAGAAGAATAAGAGGGAGAAGTAGACCTCCCTCGGAGCAGGGAGCCCATTGACTCTGGGCTCGATCCCAGGACACTGAGATCATGACCCGAGCTGCAGTCAGAGGCTTAACCAACTGAGCCACCCAGGTGCCCCGGTTTGTTACTTTTTAGTAATTCACAAAATGAAATATTTTCAAGTATTTAAGCATAAATTATTGACTATAGACAAAATATTTCTAAAGGTTAATGTCTAATAAGGAATGAAACGTTTTGGTAATACTCACTGGAAATAATTATAATTTATTAAGCAATATTGAAAAAAAATTCAATAGAAAAGTGAGTTGATGTTCTCCCTACTAATTCAATACATCAAGCTTTGGGGGGGAGTAGAAGTCATTTTATATATAATTATTTAGTAATTATATTTTGCAAATGGTATAAGTAAAAAAGAAAGACAGGTGTTTTGTTTGTTTTTTCTGAGAAGAGTTCTGAATGAGTACACACAGTTGGCCAGGGCTTATTTCCTCTTTAAAAATTTTAAAGTGTAGGGGCGCTTGGGTGGCTCAGTTGGTTAAGTGTTTGACTTCTGATTTTGGCTCAGTTCATTATCTCCAGGTCCTGGGATGGAGCCCCGCCTCAGGCTCCTTGCTTGCTCTTTCTGTCTCTCTTTCTCAAATAAATAAATCAATCTTTAAAAAATTAATAAATAAAAATAAAATTTTTAAAGCACAGAATTCTAAGATCTATGAGAATCATTTAACCCCCAATACCAATTAATACACCTGATAACATGTGGTTTCCCCTTTTTGCTGCTTTATTAAAATCAGGATAGGAATTTGTTTGCATTTTTAACCATTCTAAGAAACTCTAAATCCTATCCTATTAGATTTAACATTATGAATTACTACTAGATTAAATTCATTACTTTGCAAATAAAAAGTAAGTTTTGGTTCTAAATGGCTGTTTCTGGCCTATTAACCTATGGTGCAGTTCATGGATTGGCTTGAAATAAAAAATTATACAAATAACTCCATCAAATTTGAGCTGATTTGATCCTTGAAGAATGAAAGTTATCTTTCATAAACTATATTTCCACACTGTATCTCATAAAACATCAAACTAAGAGAGTATAAATCCCACTGAATTAAACAAAAAATCAAGTATGCTAAGAAAGTTATGGCACCTTCAAGAAAAAAAATTTTTGTCAACTAAAGGAAGCAAATAGCAGACGACACAAACATGATTAGCACAATGGAAGAGAATAGCATTAATTTATTAGATGGGTTTGATTAACAGATTAATTTCATGTTCTTCTCTGAAACCAGAGTGAGCTTTATCTTATTCTATTTATTTATCTCTAATACTTACAAATATTAGGATCCATCTAACTCTTAGATTTTATAATTAACATAAGAGAGATTCATGTCTGTGCCAAGAAGGCTGGCTTTACTAAAAATTCTGCATCACCAGAAAGGAAATTTTGTTTATTTGAATGTAATACCATGTGGGTATCTGTACCTCCTCCACTCCTTTTTTAGGCTGGTACCAATAAAATTTGTAAGCTTCAGGTACAATTATAATTCCTCAAAAGTCATAAAATTGCCCCAATTTTCTCAGGTAACCTAAAGTTCGGTTTTTCCTTTCTTCTCGTATCTCAGTCCTCTAAAATCTAAAAGTTATTTACACTCATTGGTTCTGCATCATTCCTGGAATACATAAAACTTGATAGTGTGTAAGTCTAAAACCAGAATCACACTCTTGGGAAGCCAGTTAATTTTACTGAGTAAAAAAGAACTGTGGAGTTCTTTGAAGTGGAGATTTGAAGCATTTATATCTTCTCCAAAGATCTTAGTTTATTGAAATATTTTAGTCATTTTCATATAAAATTCACAGTGCACAAAAAATTCATGTATGTGTTGTTTTACACAAGAGCATTTTGGTATTACACATTTTTCATGGACAAACAAGCCTCCATTTGTTTAGCCTATTAATAATCACCAAAATTTTAGTAACAGCAACAAGAAAAATAATATTGAAAGAATATTTCATCACAAAATAGCAAAATAATTTCCAATTATTCTTCACCTGTAGCTCTACGTTTTACTAAAGCATTTCCTCATCCTCTAGGTAAGGACCTCAAACTTTTAAGCATACACAGACAACATTCCATTTTCAAGAACAGAAAGAGATTTATGGCATAATGGTGGCTACCATATGTCATAAGAATAATGACTTTTAGAAAGAGAGTTTCTATACTTTTTTCCTACAATATTATTTTAAACAATTCAGGGCTAAATATATTTGCAATTTCATTTTCATTACACTGAGAGATGGACCAGTGTCACTCCTTTTACTCTGGTGAACTTAAATTCTTGTTATAGCTTGGTGTGTTTATTTGCATGCTTTTTTCCTAGTTGCCATCATCATTATATCTCCTGGAAACAGTACTTATTTGTATGGGGGCTGTATTCATTTTGCCCTCTATTAACATTACTGACAGGAAGAGCTTTGAACATTTCACACTCGATTTTCACTTTTGGCCATCTCTGTGAAAGCTGAGTCAAACTGGAATGTGAGACAATGATGACATATTGCATGTTCACAGGTCTCCTCATGATTTTTACAGATTTTGAGGAGTTAGAATTTGCAAGAATGGTCAAAAATGCGTTTTGCCAAAGACTTTCAACATTTTCCATATCCGTTCCTTGTGAAATGATATCAGACTAGTAATTTCATACTCATTCATAGTAAGCAATGTTAAAAAGTAACTTTTATTATTATTTTGATTAATACTCAGATGTTATGTGCTGTGTAAACACTATTCCATTAGATTTCCTTCTCTGAAACATCAAAACTTAGATTTTATTTTAGGTGCCAGTTTGCCATATGCAAGATTTCATTTATATGAATTGTTACCAACATATTATTATGATTATTATTACCCTCTAAAGTTAATAGTGAATAAAAATTTAATTTGTTGAGTAAAAAAGAAAAAAACATATCATGTTTATTAAAAAAAAAAAAGAAAAAGAAGATAGCAGGAGGGGAAGAATGAAGGGGGGGAAACCGGAGGGGTTGATGAACCATGAGAGACGATGGACTCTGAAAAACAAACCGAGGGTTCTAGAGGGGAGGGGGGGTGGGGGGATGGGTTAGCCTGGTGATGGGTATTAAAGAGGGCACGTTCTGCGTGGAGCACTGGGTGTTATACACAATGAATCATGGAACACTACATCAAAAACTAATGATGTAATTAATGTATGGTGATTAACATAACATAATAAAAAATATTATGTTTAGAAAACTTCTAATGGATTCAGTTATCTTGTTAAAAGTTAAACAGATAAAACCATAGGACAATAAATCTTGAGGAGATTAATACTTTCAATTCATTATAGAGAATTTCTAGGACATTGTAATGAGAGTCTATAAAAGTACAATAGGATTAGATTATATAATTATAATAATTCTGTTTTATTGAAAATTATGCTAAAAATATTTCTATCTACTGTCTCTTGAGCTTTTGTTTCTATTTGTCATTACCCAACCTAGTATTTGCAAATACATATAATTAACATAATCTCTTGAAATGTAAATATATAAACAAAGATAGCAATAGCATAAGAATTTTGCTTTCTGTCCTCATACCTATGACAAGAATGATTTTTGGTCGAGGTCTAGTAGGATCAAAAACCTCATATTCCTCAATTAACTCTGCAGTCTCAGAGAGGTCTGTATCACTTTCTATGGAGAATTGATGGATTGGAGGGAGCCGATCATACCGTCGATATGGAAAGTTTGCATTTTCAGGCATTACTGCAAAAGAGTAAGATAACTTTGAAACGGAAAAAAAAAGCATAATAAAACATTTTTTGTACTTAGCCAGTTAGTAGAGGAAACTTTTCAAACTAAATGAGTTTGGTTTTTTTCAACTGGAAGAAGACCCCATCCTGTAAGTGGTATGCAAACTTTTTCTTAAAGGGCCAGACATTCAATATTTTGAACTTCAAACAGTCTCATACTCAACTTGGCCATGGTAGCAGGAAAGCGGTCATAGACAATATAAAAACAAATGGATGAGCTTGTGTTACAATAAAACTTTATTTATAAAAACAGGTAAGGAGTCAGACCCAGGTCATGGGTTATAGTTTGCCAACTCCTGTTCAGAGGAACCTTCTTAAGTACTGCCTAATCTTTCTTGGTAGTTTGTATATACCCGGATCTCTGCAAATGATGCTCCCTAGAGTTGTGTAGTATACAAGCTCACAACTTTCACAACCTTATGCAGCTGCTAACTCCCGTGTTGTTCAAGGCTCAGCCATGGTTCCTGTAGTTCATGGCTCCTTCCTTCCTCACCCTGTGTGTCACTATTCTGGGGGGCACAGAGAAACCCTAACTACCCAAAAGGCACCTGCATAAAAGAAACAGGAGGCCACTGGCTTTCCATAAGGGATTTAGTTATGGGGACTACTGGACTTTAGCATGGCATCATGCTCATATCGCTTTCTGGGGTGTTGATCAGGTAGAACTTCTCATGCTCTGTTGATACAATAAATGAGGGTATTGACTACTAACCCGCTGGACTCCCTTTAGTTCCACGAAAGGAATAGAGTAGTCTGCAATGATAGTGGATATTCTTTAGAAAATTCTGGGAAGGGTTTATGATAGAAAAGGCATTGACAACAGTATCCTGTTTTGCCTGAAATTGAATTGCTACACCCAACACAGGGCAAAACTCTAGACATTATCCTCAATTACTTTCTTCCCTTACTCTTCACATCTACTGCCATAGATGTTATCTCCAAAACATATCCTAAAATGCATATATTTTTCTCCATCTCCACTACCACAACTCTTGCCTAAGCCACCATCATTTACCCAGACTACTATAATAGACTCTTTACTGGTCTGCCTGCTTCTAAATTGTCCCCACAATCCACTGCCTGAAATGCTTTTCCCAATGCAATCCCATGGCCATCTGCTGCTTGCCATTCATGCCTCAGCTCAAATGACACCTCCTATAAGAGAACTTCACTGACTTTTTAATCTCGAGTAGCCACCTAATTTCCAGGGCACCACTCTAACAATGCTCTACATAGCATCTACTATTTCACCATCTGAAAGGTCTCCATTTACTGTTTGCCTTCTCCCATTAGAATGTTCAGTTCCATGAAGCAGGGACCTTACTCATCTGGAACTGTATCCCTGGGATCTAGAACTATGCTTGGCCGATAAATATTTGTGAATTGTTAACAAAGAGAATAGATGACTTCCCATAGAGAAAAGCCAGAAGATGGGTAGGCAGAGTGTGGCCACAGGATAGAGGGCCTTGACCACCACGGTAAAGGGTTCAGCTTTAACCTGGTAGAAAGCCAGCAGAGAAGTGTGAGTAGAGCAGTGACATAATTAAATATGAAATATGTTTTTTAGGAAGATTAATCTGGTGATGGTTAGAAGGGATTGAGTAGGGAGATGAGGAGCAGAAAGAATAACAGCTAGGAGTCAGGTACAGTAATGCACAGGTGAGAAATGAGGGCTTAGAGGCATGGGAAATGGACACAAGTGGTTAGATATGAAGAACATGGTTAGGATTGGGATCTCTGACATGAAAGCAGGTGATATTACAAAAACAATGACCAGGTTTCAAGTCTAAATGAATAAGGAAAACATTGCATTTCATATAGCATCTTTTTGCCTTCTCTCTTCTGCTCCAGAAATAGTGGGCTTCTCTCACTCCTGTCTATATCATACCCTCTTCCTCTATGTCAGGAACTCCTATTCTCTATTCCCTGGTAGCTACTCAAACTCCTCCATCCTTCTCTAGCTAACACCCGCTCAGCTTTCTGTCTCCAAGCATTAGCATATCACTTCCTCCAGGAAGCCTACCCTGAACCCCAGCCTAGGTTGGATCCATTCCCCCGTTAATATGGTTGATCCTATAGCATATGGTATTTCCTATAGCACCCACTGTGCTTCTAATTATATATTTATTTTTTTCACCATCAATGTTTTTTTATTCCATATTCAAAATGATCACCAACTTCATTATTTTTATTTCAACAATTATTCCTGACTAACATCTCTTACACAAATTCTTAAAAAATAACCTCAGCATTATATTCTATATAATTTTTATGTATATACCATATACCGTATACCATATATCTTTATGATACATATATATCATACCTATATAGAGTGTTCACTATCTACACTCCTATAGTATTTACAAAACATTTCTTTTTAATGTATTTTAATATTTTATTTTTTAAATTGAAGTATAATTAACGTAGCGTTTTGTTAGTTTCACGTGTACAGTGTAATGACTCAACAATTCTATACATTTCTCAGTGCTCATAAGATAAGTGGACTCCAATCCCCGGTATCTATATCACCCATCTCTCCACCCACCTCCCCTCTGGCAACCATCAGTTTATTCTCTGTATTTAGGATTGTTTTTGTTTGTTTGTTTGTTTTGTTTTAAACTCCACATGTGAGCGAAAACAAACAAACAAAAATTCCTCACGTGAGTGAAATCATGTCATATTTGCCTTTCTCTAACTGACTTATTTCACTTAGCATAATACCCTGTAGGTCACTCCATAAGGGCAGGTTAACATGTTTGTTCTTTCTCAGTGGCTACATCTTCAGTCCTGAAAGAATGTCTGACAATAGCAGTGCTCAGTAAATGGTTATTTTAATGCTCAACTGACTCTCTGACTGACTTCATCGAGATAAGAAAAGAAGGAAGTGCTGGTTTTGAAGCAAATATGCTATGCTTGCTTCTAAACATGTTGAGTATGAGATGACAATGAGATATTCCAGAACAGAAGCTCTATGGACATTTGGAGCTATGGGATTAGAACTCTTATTCACAACTAATTATTTGTTCAATTGTGTATATATGGCAGAAAAAAAATGGATGCTTATCTTACATTGATAATACAGTCTTTTCAGTCAATAATTTATTCTCACTTTTTTATCATATCTTTATATATGAAAGTAATTTGCCTAAATGATTAAAACATTTTAATTCATAGAATAATTTTTCATGATAATTATATATTAGCATAGCTATATCAGTATTTCAGCAAAATATGCATGAATCACTTTTTATTTCTAGAAATAATGATGCTTTAAGTTACTGGGAAGTTATCAGTTTCCTTTAATTTAATAATATATTCCATAAATTATAGCTAAAACTTACAAAACACAAGTATGTAAAGCATTTCAGAAAATTGTTATTATTACAGAAAGGTCCATTTAGAAACCATTCTGTCTTTCAGCATGTGTCCGAGATACAGAAATGTAATAAGGCATTCCTGTCATCATAGTATATTGAAAGGTTTTATTTGATGATTAACGAAAAGATCTCTGAGAAGGAATTCTGGTAAAGTATCAGTACGTATGGAGCGTCTAAAATTAATAAACAATTGTAATTCTAATGAAAGTTAAACCTACATTTTCCATTCGTGTTTTAGCTTATCCTGCTAACTCAGGAGTTCCAAACTGGTCATTTGTGGGCCTAATACAGCCCCGTAGATGTGTTTTCTTCAGCTCAACATTTTTCCAAAATTTGTACATGACTGCCTTTAGACAATGACTGTTCTCACTTATTTGACCACAGTCTCCACTGTTCTGTATTACACACTTGGCCTGCCTGACTTCTGTGTATAATCAAGCCAAGTAAGAGTATGAGACAGAAGCATTCAGATTTTATTTTGTTGCAAAACAGTCACTTTTCATACCCAGTCTGAGAGCAGCTTTTGAACTAAGGGGATACCGTATCCTCTTAGATTTAAATTTAAAAATGTAAAAATATTTTAGACTAAATCCAGTAATACCTGAGGTTTGTCAATGCTTTAAGGTTTAGAAACGATTCCCCATATTTAACCTCATTTAATTAAACAAGGGCGTGGCACACGTATTTAACACTGAGCCAGATTCTAACAGTATAACAACCCAGGAAAGTAAGTTAGTTGTTTTGGGAAGGTACGAGAACCCTTCAAGCCCATGAAAAAGTCATTTTGTTCACCGAAACAGAAATTTACTAAGTGGTGTGCCTCGGAGGTAACTGTCACTTGGGCATTCAGGCCTCTATCAACTGGTGATGATTCCTGCAAGGATAGGGAAGGATTCTGCTCTCTGGAGATGCTTCTGAGAAAATGTTGTTTCTGCTTACCCTTTCTGTTTGTGTTTCTTAAAAATTAACACACTATGACTTTTCCCCCACACTGCGTTCAAATAAAATCTAAGCAGGTCATGACTAAGTAAAATAAACAGAAGTTTATTTCCCTCTTGTATTTGCTACAAATACTTGTAAGACTTGTATTATAAATGTTGCAAACATTTCATGGTACAATTTTCGAAAGTGATGTAAATTTTGAAATTATAATGATCTTGGCCACTGGGAAAGAATAAACTTAGTTTCCCCTGATTGGAAATGATTCCATTTTGCACATACGATTTTACTTCAACTAGAGCCTAAAAGGTGGTTGGCTGATGTTGAACCACTAATTTTGATAGGCATGTAGTTCAGAAAGCTATCAGAATATACCACGAATCTCCTCTAGTGAACTCCAGTTCTTAGTTCCAAACTATTCTTAAAATTGCTAGACAAGTTATGTCTTCTACTTCTTTTATAGCATCCAAATGCCTAATCTATTATGTTGCATTCAGTAGCTGCTTAATAAATACTTGTTGGATTAACTAGTATGAACTTAATATGCATTTATGCAAATGCACTAATATGAACTCTGAGTTTGGAAACATATTATGCCAAGCTCTTCCCAGCTAATTAAGGAATGTTTAATTATTACATAATAACTATTTTGTCTATCCATTTATTTGGGAAACTCTTATTTGCAGTTTTAAGAAAAACTCATAGTTTGCTAATGTAATTCATTTTGCAAAATAATAAAGTCAGAAATACAAAATTTCATTAAGCCTTTAGGGAAGTGTTAGACCGTGGCATGTGCTTTTGTCTTATCACAAATGTGATTAGAATTCGGAGCAAAGAGATTAATCATGTTCCAGGGTCAAATATCTTTCTAGGCTTTTGGAAACCTAATAAAACAAATAACTACCTATAGTCTATATGGTGTGTTTTAAAAAGAACTGCTGTAACTATAAACCATTATTCTACACATACATTACCATTTCTTAGAAAGGATCTCCGTGACTGTCCTCCATTGAGCGGAGGTAAGGTCTTCTTTTCCTGGCTGACAAATGTATCCCACTTCACCTTGTCACAGCCACCTAATTCCTTAACTTTCTGTAAACAACTTTCCAAGTACTCTACCGGGTCTTCAGGCTTAGAACACATCAGTCCATTCAAGAGGCTCTGAAATACAACAACAAAATATGCCTATGTAATATAGGTTTTAAAACCACCTTTGTTAAAATAATTGTATGTCCCATCTTTAAATTCTGGGTTGCTTTTGGTCTTTGCATTTGTTTTCTTAATGAACAATTAGAGGTGGAATTATGACCTGCTGAGTAATTAAGAAAGCCCCTAAATTCTTGACCATTAGTGTTCAGCTCAGCATTCTCTGTCTTTTAAACAATTCAGACAACTACATAGTTTAAAATGGAGGCACCCTATCAAAGTGAGATAAAGTGCAGTGCGTAAAAGTGCTCCAGTCATTATTTGTCATATTCTCACCCATTCTTAAAGGCTCTGAGCCTCAGTCTCTTCATTTGTAAAATGTTTTACCTACCTCAGAGAGTTGAGGTTTTTTTAAGATTTTTTATTTATTTATTTGATAAAGAGAAACACCGCAAGAGAGAGAACACAAGCAGGGGGAGTGGGAGAGGGAGAAGCAGGCTTCCCGCGGAGCAGGGAGCCCGATGTGGGGCTCGATCCCAGGACCCTGGGATCATGACCTGAGCCGAAGGCAGATGCTTAAGGATTGAGCCACCCAGGTGCCCCTTTCAGAGAGTTTTTTAAGTATTAAAAATGTAATATTTGTAAAGTGCATATTGAGGGCCTGGCGCATAGTAAATACTCAATAGAATTGGTGGTTCCCATTAATATTATTATGATCAGGAAGGCTCCTCTGAGCTCCCAGGTTGGCTTGTGGACCTATTCCTAGCATTCCGTATTACCCAGAAAAAAAAAAAAATCTTACCTGTCATTTATACTGAAACCATCAGTTTATTGTGTTGGTCTCATCTTCTAACCTGTAAACTCTTCAACAACCCAGAGTGGGTCTTTTTTATTTTTCAGTCTCTAGCCCCTGACACTGTCCCTGGCACATGGTAGGTGCATATTGGACTGTTTTCTTTCTTTTTTTAAAAAATATTTTATTTATTTATTTGACAGAGAGATAGCGAGAGCAGAAACAGAAGCAGGGGGAGTCGGGGAGAGAGAAGCAGGCTTCCCGCTGAGCAGGGAGCCTGATGCGGGGCTTGATCCCAGGACCCCGGGACCATGACCTGAGCCGAACAGACACTCAAGGACTGAGCCACCCAGGCTCCCCTGGACTGTTTTCTAATTAGGAAAAAAATTTTACTCAAAACATAGTCTGAGACTTAAAAAAATGCTATTTGATATATAATAAATCACCACAATATCCGCTGAGGTTACAGAGGAAAACCTGGTGTCCAATGTGTCATATGTAGTAGTTTCTAAAAATGATACAAATTTGGAAATGCTGACTCCCGGGAACTCGACTGATGTGCAAACTGTTTTCCTTTACAGTATTTCATGGAAAAAGCATAGAAGATTATTATCACCAATATACATTATTAATGTACAACACACACACCCCCTTTGAAAGGCTGACATCTTTGCTAAATACAGTATTTTATTTTCACATTATTCTTGTACAATTTGTTCAAAGTGGTAGGCAGTTCTTTCCAGGTACATTTGTTCTCTCAAATCCCAAATAGTGTGGGTTAGAGTGCTGAGAGGAATTCAATTGCAGAGGGAGAGGAAAAAACTAATCTGGGCATCCACATTCCGTTTGTGTGCGAAGATCTGTGTTATATATACACAGACACACACGGACACACACATTGTGTTTAACTCCTCACATTCCTATGTTAATATAGCTAACTGTGGCAGTGCTTCCTCTGTGTCTTTGTATGCCTTAGCTCACCCAATGCACTCTCAGCCCTATGTGGTATTATTATCCCCATTTTATAGATTAGGAAACCATGGCTCAGAGATGTTAATGAGCTGATCAAGCTCATTAACTTGTAGCCCCAGGATTCCAACCCAACGTTTCTGATTCCAAAACGCACATATTCCTCTCTCTACATCTTGCAAAAATACAATATGGGATAAAAAGAAAATGCCAGACTATCTGTGCCCCCTACATAATCCAACTATACAATATGAATCACTCAAGGTCTCTCTTTTTTTTAAAAAATTCCTATTATTGCCTAAAATGAGTGAACATACTCAATGAAATTTTTTTTAACTGGAAAATATACATTTCCAACCTCCCTAAAAAAATCTGACTCCCCAAAGGGTATTGACTGTAGAAGGAATGAGTTCCACTCCATGGATAATTTTAACCCTTCCTTCTAACAGTCAGCCACCATCAGGGATCCAAGATAACCTATTATTCCGTCTTTTTTAGTTAATCCTTAGAGAACCTGAATAATCTAATTTGACTTTCACCAGAATTCGAATTAATTGCTAAATCTCTGCTCGAAGGTACAGTAAAAGAAGATCAACACATACCCTCTAAGGTTGGCTAGATTCAAGAAATCATGACAATATCAGGGGAATGTGGTTTTTATTTTAAACATTTACTCTAAAAATAGAAACACATTTTAAACTTGAACCTACCAGAGATATCCCATTTAGCGCATGTGATGTCTGAAGTCAGGAGAAAATCTGAAAAGGTTAGTTAAACACATCTAGTTGTCTGACAGTATGTAGATTCCAATAATCAATTACTTGGTCTATAGGGGTGTCTAAAATCTACAGCTAAGAGCGCCTGGGTGGCTCAGTTGGTTAAGCGACTGCCTTCGGCTCAGGTCATGATCCTGGAGTCCCGGTATCGAGTCCCGCATCGGGCTCCCTGCTCGGCAGGGAGTCTGCTTCTCCCTCTGACCCTCCCCCCTCTCATGTGCTCTCTCTCATTCTCACTCTCTCAAATAAATAAATAAAATCTTTAAAAATAAATAAATAAAATCTACAGTTAAGGCAATGTTTTTTGTTTGATAGATACCTAATTGATAAACTCTGTATAGTTAGAAACTTCACATACCATTATTATGGTTTGACAGAGAAAATTCTGTTTGGAAACAAAACATTTGGTTATGCTTATTACATAGAGAACTGGCAGGTTTTACTTCTGTCTTCTGCTGGATAAAGCATAGATTCTTACTGGTAGGATGGAGTCTTTGGAGGTCACCAGAAGTCTTTTTCCATCTTCCAAATGTCCAGGATTGCATTTAAGTACATTGTATTACTGCATTTCACCTAAGGGAGTAGACTTCCTTTTCTGGGTGTACACTATTTTAAAATGCCCCATTCATATGCAGAAAAACAAAACAAAACAACATAATACCTGAATGAAAACGCCAGCCATCACCTATTTGCATACACAGTGTAGATTTTCATGAACAAACCATCAAAAATCTCTGTGGTTACTAAGGAGGAAAAACAGTACCCACATTTATAAAGAAAATAGACATACTATTAAGCAGCACTTTGCAATCAGGTGACATTCCTGCATGTGTTTCTAATTATTCTTTTAGAAGTATAGAAATGAGATTGATCTCAGTAGTAACATTTATGACAAAACCTTCAACTCTTTTGCTCCATATTTACTTTTTGAAGATTAAAAAAAAAGAAGAAAAAGGAAAACTCTTTAAGAACCCTACCTACCCCCGAGACCTGTCCTTATGCAACACCTCCTGATTCTTTTCAAGCATGAGTAACACACTTGCTAGATTTGGTTTCACAAACCAGCCTTGTGCTCAGTGTGTGGTTTACCTGGAAATCTTAGCTTCAGACCAACCTGAAACGGGTGGCTAACAGAGGTGAGAAAAAAATGAAGATCTGCAATTATGGTGGCCCAGTTTAAAGACAATCTGGGAAAACAGGCATCAAATTCCTTTCCCAAATGGTGTTTTAAAATTCCTTTTAGCAGAACAAACCTCCCAAACAGGAGAAAGAACAACTCATGACCCTTGGTTTAATGGGATCAGTCTACAGCCTATCATCTTTCAGAAATGGGGGGGGCAGGTTTGCAGTGAATAGAATTCATCTGCGGGGGCTCCATCTATGAAGCTTGGCTCGCTTCCATTTTTTGTTTTGTTTTGTTTTTGTTTTTATTTTATTTTTATTTATTTGACAGAGAGACACAGCGAGAGAGGGAACACAAGCAGGGGGAATGGGAGAGGGAGCAGCAGGCTTCCCGCGGAGCAGGGAGCCCTATGCGGAGCTCGATCCCAGGACCCTGGGATCATGACCTGAGCCGAAGGCAGACGCTTAACGACTGAGCCACCCAGGCGCCCCTGTTTTGTTTTTGTTTTTAACCGAAACCACACAGAACTCAGCAATGTTTCAAAATGCAAATATAGAGAGAAGGAAAGGAAGCAAAAGGCTCCGAGACGTAGGATGCGGTTAGAACTAACAAGGTGCCTTTCGTTCATCCCTCAAGCCTCCTCTCCCACGTTCCCAAAGTGTTCCTCATCGCCTGGGTCCCTGGTGGAGATGATGCTGTGATGCGGCCCGAAAACAGCAACAGGAGTCACGCCCGCCCCGCCGCTCTCTCCGACTTGCTTTCTCTAGGTGGGTTGGAGAAGGCCGGCGAAAGCTACAGCCAGGGCGGGGGGCGGGGGGCGAGGAAGGAATGATCCCTTCCAAGGCAACGGAAAACGTGCTCAGGAGTTCATTCACCGAAAGCGCACAGCAGCGCTGGGAGCCTGCCACCCGGGAGATAGTGCTGCACTCGACGGGTTTGGATTTGTTTTTTGCATCTTCATCACTCTCCTCCAAGCTGTCCCCTCAGAAGGCTACTTCCGTCCACACTTCCCCTTCCCCGCGGGGTCCTGACCCTCTGCGCGCGGAGGGGCTAGGGCTCTCCACCCCTCCGCTTTGAGTCCCTGCTCGCTCCTGTGCGCCAGCCGTACCCACCTGGCCTGGCCCTCGCCCCTAGAAAGCGGGGCCCACCGCCGCCGGCAGCCCACCCTCCACATCCGAGGGGTACACTGGAGGCAACCTGCTTCCAGAGCCCTGCTGGAAGACTGAAACTTGATCTGCGAGATGCGGGCTTCTAAGCCCAGCCATCGGACAAGGACCCCGGCAACCCGCTGAAAAGGCGACGACCCCGGGCAAGCGGGAAAGCGAGCTTCTGCAAGCCCCTTCACTTCCGCGCCCCGTGTCGGCAAGGTGGGACGGGGCGCGGCTTCCACTCCCTTCCCCAGACCCCCCCCACCCACCCACCCCAGGCCCGGAGATGCCTTCCCCGGATCCTCCCGGCCGTCTGCCAGCCCTAGCCCCTTACCTCGAAAAGCTGAGGGATTTCCCTCCGGGCCAGATACTCCTTGGCATCGTTGGTGTTCATGGCTGTGCCGCGCGTGCCTTGGGGCACGGGCGGAGAGGTTCCCGGGCTGCGGCGACCTGGGCTGGGGCTGGCGGGGTCCGCGCGGAGCACGGGCGCAGCCCTCGATCTCACGCGCAAACACTCCCACGCTCAGCTCTGCCAGCCCAGGCCAGTGCCCCCCTTTCCGGTCCCCGGGGCCTGTGGTCTCCGCGCTCCCGCCGCCCCCGCCTCGCTGCTGGTCCGCGCGCCGGAGCTGCGGGCTTGGAGCAGCGGCTTCCCGGGCTCCCAGGCAGCGCGGCCGCCAGAGAAGGGCGGAGGGAGCGGAGGAGGGAGGACAGCGCGGCGGACGCCAAGCAGCAGTCCGCTCGCCTCTCCCGCTCAGCGCGCCGCGCTCTGCGCCTCCCGGAGCCGGGTCTGCGGCGGCGGCCAGTCACGCTGCGCGGGCGGGCACAGGGTGCAGGGGTGGGGGCGGGCGCGCGCCGGGGGCTCGCAGTCACACCCCTCCGAGTCACACCACCGCCGGGGCGCGGCGCTGACCTGCGCGCGCCGCCCGGGGACGCGGCAACCTGGGACCAGGTGGCCAAAGGAAGAATCGGGGGTTCAAAAAACCTGCCCCCCCTCCCTCCCCCCTCACCCCCCAACCACAGAGTTACTCCTGCATCCCCGTGTAGCTCCTGGGAAGAAACCTAATTGTTACAGAATTTGTCATTTATTCCTAAGGTTACCGATCTTTCATCACAGGGAGCTGGAGGTAAGGAGAGAAGGGGGATTCATAGTGTGGAATCTGTCCTTATAAGACAATTTTTAGATCTTAGGTATTTCTATCCTTCAGGAAAGTTTTGCTAGCTGCTTTCTAATTTTTTGCCTGTCAGGGTCACAAATCCTTACAGATTTCAGTGTAAGGCCTTACAGGGAGGCTGAAATCTTCATTAATAGAAGGATTAGTAAGTAGTCAACTAGTTAGCTAACCCCCACAGAGAGGAATGGAAAGGTGGGGGAGAGAAGTGGGTGGTGGTGGAGAGCTGGAGACCGCTTAAATTGGAAATGTGCTTGGTAGGTGGCGTGGGCGCCATCATTAATTGGATCTGAAGGGTATGTAGTCAGTGGGCCGTGGGCCGTCAGAGCACTCAGGGGCTGGATGGTGCGCTGAGGCAACCATGAGAGTAAAGAATCTTCCTGTTAAACACGCCATTATCAAGGTATACCCATCCTCCGCCTAGCTCTCAAGATGACTCATTTCCCCCATTAAGATGTCTTTTCACTGTCTGTTTGAAAGATGGTCCGTGTCACCCTGAGAATATGACCTCTAACTGTGTTCCAGGCCTGACACTGTGGGAGGATGTGTGAGAGAGAAGGTGGCCTTGATGGCCACTGACATCTGCCAGGGAGAGAAGCAGCACTGCAGCTGTTTCCCAAAACCCTTGTCTGAATGTCCATTTCACGTTCATCTTTGCAGATCTTTCCTTGATTCTATTTCTTGTCACACAAGCCACTTGCTACCAAAGCCTTAACTATAGCTACAGTTTTGTTTTACCCAAGGGAGGGAACTCAAGAATTAACTGAGTCTTGTAAATGAAGTTTTCTGAACACTTGGGAAACCGTGTGTCATATGGTAGCCTTAAATGAGGCAGGTGTTCCATTCCAGTCCCATAGAAATTGATTTCTGCCCTCAGAATATGCCACATAACTTAGTCCCAGCTTCTGACATTCTTTACCTTATTTGAGAGCAGGTTATGGCCGTGGTTAAGCATTGTTCCTTCTCTCTGCAACAATACTTGCGAAGTCCCAGGATCCATGGCATGAAGCCTACTTTGTGAGCAAGCACAACTGAGGTGAAGCATCTAGGATTTAAGAGGCCACTTTCTGCAGGACCCTTCACGGTCACCCTTTATAGACAAGAATCTGACAGAGCACAGCTCACATCTTCTCTCCTGGAGAGGAATGTAACCTGAATGGATGTGTAACTCTAAATGCACTTTAGTATAGCCAGGCAAGGATGGCCACTTACTTATACAAAGAAGAGTGGATAAGGAAGACTGCATTGCACAAAATAGTCTAGAGAGTCTGAAAAAACCTAGTCCGGGCATAACTCAGAGATATTGCAGGTTTGGTTCTAGACCAACACGATAAAGTGAGTATTGCAATAAAGTAAGTCAAATAAATTTTTTGGTTTCCTAGTGCATATAAAAGTTTATGTTTATGCATATTAAAGTGTGCAACAACATTATGTCTAAAAAATAACCTACATACCTTAATTAAGAAATATTTTATTGCTAAAAATACTAACCATCATCTGAACTTTCAGTGAGTTGTAATCACTGATCACAGATCAGCATAACAAATATAATAATAACAGAGTTTGAAATGTTGCAAGAATTACCAAAAAGTGACACACAGACACGAAGTGAGCAAATGCTGTTGGAAAATGGTGCCAATAGACTTGTAAGGCACAGGGTTGCCACAAATATTCAATTTGTAAAAAAGCACAAATATATGCAAAGCACAAGAAAGCAAGGTTTGCCTGTAGAACAATAAAATGAGGTATGCCTGTAACTGGAGGTATGGCAAGTTTTCAGGTAGCCTTATGCATTAACAATCAGTGCTTTTTGGCATATTCCAGCTATATGAAAGGCAAGATATTCATAATTACTTTTGCAAAGGAAGGTGTGGCTAGGTAGAGAAAGGCTGAATGAGGGAAGGATGGTGCTTAAAAACCAGGCTGGTGGTTTGGAAGAGGGGAAAGAGGACTAGGAACAACAAATACATGCTTGCCATGGGAAAGCTTTCATATCATTGCCTGATGTGAAATTCTAAGGATGGTATATAAAAGGTTCTTGGCTCTTTGCTCCTTGTTGACTTGCGGATGCAGTCCTGCAAGTTCTAACCAATCAAGATGATTAGTGCATGTCTGGTGTCACCAGATAGAATGTCTTCTGCTCCCACCATGGGAGGGTGTGCTAGATTTTGAGATACAGCAGGGAATAAGACAGACATGATTGCTGCTGTCAAGGAACTTCCATTCAACTGCAGAGTGTCTGTGAGAAGTACAGATGGAAAATAAGCAACTGGGCCATTTGTGTATCTTGGGCCATTTGTAAATATTTCGCTTACCCAGAAAAAAAAAAAAAACCCTAAATGTGTAAGACCTACCATATGCCTATATATTGTCCTAGTAAATGTGCCTCTTGTTTACAGGTATTCTTTTTAGGTCTTTCTGAGGCTTTTACTTTTTTGTAAATGTAGAATATACACACTAGTCTGTGAAATCTGGGGTAAATGCAGGCTGAAATAATGGTGTAACACAATTCTTTAGCCAAAGCAGAATTTCCCTATGCTCTATTTCTTTTCCCCACACTGGTTGAGTAGCTGAGCCAGTAGCTGGATCTCAAAGACAGCTAGGAACTCCTAAATTAGAGGGGCTTAGAGGTAGGAGATTAAAAACTCTTCCATAATGTCTGAAAGCATTAGGAAAATTTCCAAGTATATAATATATATAGAGAGAGAATAGCTAAGATTTGGAAAAATCCTATTTACTTATCTATTCATCAAGTAATGCATTCATTCATTAAACAATTACAAAATAACCTTTCATGTTCCAGACTTGTGACTGGAGCTGGGAATACAAAGAGCAAGACCCAAGGGGTTCACTGTCTGGTAGAGAGAGATAGACTTGTGATAATTAAGTACAGATAAATGTAATAATTTGTTTTAGCAACATGATAGAAGTAGATATGTGGAGGAAGATTGTTATTATGGGGACACAGAGGCACATGACTCATAGAAATATGTATATGGTAAAAAGCACTCAGAAAGTTTTAAAAATAGATTTTCTTCCAATATTCTTCACCACCCTTAAAAAATGTTTTTAATCTGTTTTCTCTTCCATTTTTTCCGGATACATAGATTTTCAGAAACATTGTCATAACTGTAATTACATACATTTCTATGCTTTACATAGTGATCTTTTTTTTTTTAAAGATTTTATTTATTTGAGAGAGAGCACAAGAGGGAAGAGGGTCAGAGGGAGAAGCAGACCCCCCGCTGAGCAGGGAGCCTGATGTGGGACTCGATCCCAGGACTCGATCCCGGGACTCCAGGATCATGACCTGAGCCGAAGGCAGTCGCTTAACCAACTGAGCCACCCAGGCGCCCTACATAGTGATCTTTTAAAATGGCTTTATAAGAGTTCATTGAGGAGTTTTGAAACAGCAACTTATGTTAATTATGTTAATAATTTCTGTAGTTAAAAGAATGAATTACAAATCATACTACATTAAGAGTAAGAACGTCTATTCTTCAAAGACACCATTAAAAAAACTAAAGGCACTTTATTGGATAAGAGGATATATTTATAATACAATCATCCAATAAAGGACTCAAATATATAAAGAACTTTTACAAATCAATAGGAAAAAGACAATCCAGTAGAAAAATGGACGAAAGACTTGAGCAGACACTTCAAAAAGAAGCTCTCCAAATCCAACTTCAAATGACCAATAATATATGAAAAGTAATAATTTCATTAGTCATCAAAAATATGCAAATTAAACAATGTGATATCACTGTATACCCACAAGAATGGTTAAATTGAAAAAAGACAACAAATACTAATGGTAATGAGGCTGTGGGGTAATGAGAACTCACACTCCTGGGGAGATAGAAACTTGTACAGCCACTTTGGAAAATTGTTTGAAATAACTACTAGAGCTGAACATATGTATTTTTGCATTCACCAAAAGTTATGTATTAGAATCTTCATAGAAGCATTATTCTTAATAGCCCCAAACTGGAAACTACTCCAGTGCTCACCAACAGTAGAACACAAATTATGTTATGTTCACAAAATGGAATACAATGAGCAATGAGAATCAACAGTCTACAGCAACATGTAACAACACGGATGGGTCTCACAAACATAATATTGAGTAAGCACCAGACACGAAAGATACAAACTATTTGGTTTCATTTATATAAAGTAGAAAAACAGGGGCGCCTCGGTGGCTCAGTGTTAAGCGTCTGCC